TCATTTGCTCAACTTTACTGCATCTGTCCTGCATGGAGGAGATCAGCTTCGAGAAGATCTTGGCACAACCTGCCTTTGCGGTCTGAGCACTACCCTGTTGGAACCAAGACAAATGTTTTTAAAATATGACCCGCCTTGCAGAGTAGATGCACAACAGCTTTAAATCCTCTTCAGAGATTCAAACAGAACCCTGGTGATTTGTTTGTTATGCTGATTTTTTCTCTAAGGTTAAACGACATCTTTTATTAACAAGATAAAAGTTTTTTTTTCTTTTTGTTTTTTTTTTTAGGTTTCCTTTCCTTTTTTGGTAAATATTATTGCTGTTCTCATTTTCTAAGCTTTTATTTTTTCATGGGGCTGACATTATGTTTAACGTTTGTTTGAAAAATGATGCAATTTCTCAAATTCACAAGCCCGAATGACTTGTTGGCTGCCATCAAGTGGTGGTAAGGAGAAGTTATTACCAGTAACACTCAGACGAAAGATTTGGCAGCATTTCAAACCCACAAGCACTAAATTATCTGCTAGCTGCTGAAAGGTTCTAGCAATTAATCCCAATCTGTACATCTTTGATGGTTACATTTTGTTGGGAGTGAGAAAGTTTCTGAGTTTAAGCCCCACTCCCAAGGACTGCCACTCTGGGTCCCTGAGCAAGACCCTTAACCCCCACACTGTTCCCCAGCTGCTGCACAATGGCAGCCCGCTGCTCCCCAAGTGCAGAGAGTTCATTTTGTTGCTCTGTACTTGTGACAGTGTAATGACAATAAAGGTAAATTCTAATTCTATTCTTCTAATTCTTATATTCAAGATCTATTAGTTTTGACAGTTCTTTCACAGCTTACCCCCTTTTACTATTTGCCCATTTTAAAACCAAAATTTGTCTTATTTAAGCATTGTTTTGAATTGTATATTCCCACACTGTAACATTCTTCTCAGCTTGTATGAGAGTCACCAACTCTTCTCTTTGCTGGACTTTCTTTTGTACTTGCCTTCGTACCTCTTCCAGGCGTTTCTAGAAGTAAATTAGTTTCCAATAGATTGAATTTCATATTAGAATGTTGCTTTAAATTTATTTTAGTCACATAATTTGTTTTTACCTTTGTTTTCTCCTCTAGCTCCAGAATAGACATGAACCCATGCCCTTTGTACACTCTGTGCAAATTAACTCCTTATCCTTCTGACAGTAGAGATTCATCAGCTGCACATCAGATACACATCTTTTCCTTTATTGAAAAGGTTGCTGAGACTAGTTCATGTTTCTGTAATACAGGGATATTGTAGTGAGGCTTAGCATGTTCATCACAGTAAGATGCTAGCCATGTCAAGCAGGATTTGGCGGCTTTCTTTTGTCCAGGATCGTAAAAGTCACAGGTGGCGTCAGGTTGGGTGGCGAGGGTCAGCGAAGGGGGTAGTGGTTTGGGATATCTCATGTTCAGCTTTTTTACAACCTGAAGAAGGAGAAGTTGGTTAGGACCAGGAAGTACAGTGAAGAAAATAAGTATTTGAACACCCTGCTATTTAAGAGGGTCTCCCACTTAGAAATCATAGAGGGTTCAGAAATTGGTGCATATATCTGCTGCTAGAGACAGCATAAAAAAATACAGAAATCACAATGTATGTTTTTTTTTAACTATTTCTTTCTATGATATAGCTGCAAATATGTATTTGAACACCTGATAAAATCGATGTTAATTTGTTATTGTTAACTTTAAATCTGATGCTTATGAAATCCTTAAATCTGAGGTCTTCAACTGGGGGTCCGCGACCCCTAGGGGGTCCACGGAGGTATGGCATGGGCGTCGCGAAAGTTTTGGTTGATTAGACTTTAGTTGATTTTTTATATTCCCCTGTGCAATTTTTTCCACTAATTGAAATAATTACACATTATCATGAATTCAACACACTGTAGTAAACTGATAAATGGAGGCAGAAGTTGTCTTTCAGTCATCAATGCACACATTCAGCGACACACAGGAGCTCTTTCAAGCTGGGCACTGTTTCCTTCACAACACCTGTCCCATCAACCAGGAATCAGAATCAGAAATACTTTAATAATCAAGGGGCAAAATCACTTTCGTTACATTACTCCATCTGTAATAGAGTGACTATAGGACCAGTTTGATATGACACAATGTCATACAATATATATAACTAGGGGGTCCCCACTCCAAAACAGCCTTTTCTATATTGACTTTTCCAGATTGACTTCATAATTATTCTCCAGCTGCTGTTGCTTTTTACTGGCCGTTCAGGAAGAAGCCAGCCACACAAGACGGGAAGCTAAGATATGTGATGTGCAAAATTGCAGAAGGAATAAAAGAACCACGTGGTGCTCAGTACAGCAGCTTCAATGTCCACCCTCTGCAACAGCTGTATTTGCTTATAAAAAGGTGGTTGTAAAAGACATCTGATGAGATCTCAAAGTGGGGAAAACCGAGAATACTGCTTTCATGTCAAGTCAAGGCAGTAAAACATATTCTGATAAGGTGTGCGTGTTATTTCCTGGTTCTGCATGCCTAAACAGACCCTGCAATGCATTTTATACTTTAATGAGCAACAAGATGTATAATTCTAAATGTGATGTGCTGACAAAATGCTTAGATGCTTAAAATTAGTTTTTCTTCTGCCTAGGATTTTTTCTAACTTGTTCTCTGATCTCCAGTTTTCTTAGTTCTTCCAGCAATGATCAGGGAAAGCTTGCCTCTTCAGTTGAAGTAGAAAAAAAAAACATGTCCAAGAGGTGGTCAGAGAAAATTTTCTACAGTATTCCAAGGTTATAGCCTATAGAGAGGACTCTGAGATACAATTAGATGACCCTCTTTTTGAAATATACCTTATACAGCTAGACTAATTACACAACCATTGATCGGCATTGATTCATTATATGTTTGTTTTACTTTGGAAACTTTGGAAACACTTCTGGTTCCGCAGATTACAAATATTGTGTATAAATAAAGTGGACTGGATACTATAGAATAGCTGTTTCTGACAAACTCTCAGCTGTAAGAAACATTTCTGTATTTAGCTCCATCGATCAAGCCATTTGTTTAATATGAGCAATAAATAAATCCAAAGCATGATACTACCATGCTTTACCAAAGGGAATATGTTTTGATGAGGAAACATTTGGATTTTTGCTTTGCAGCCGCAATGTTAATTATGTCATCTAGACAATATAAGTTTTGCCTCATTTAAAAAAAGCTAATTTGCTCTGTTGTTTCACAACAATTGTTTATGATATTTAAGAGAAAATTGTTGGATTGAAAAATAACAGCTTTTTAAAATACAATTTCCATTTGGTGGTTGAGGATTTTTGAAACTAACCTCTTGATTAGACCAAAATAATTGGAAATCTAAATTTGGTTCCTATAAATTTGTTCCTATAAAACTGTGAATGGAGACTGCAAACCTTAAAGTGTACAGAGAGCAATGTATTTTAAGATAAAGACTTGGGATTTTAACTCGTTCACCTTGGCAAATTTGATCAAAGAAAATATCTTTCATTAAAACCAGATTTCGGATAAACTAGGATATTATTAAGGTGCTTTATAAATTTGCTATGAAACCAGATTAAAAAAAAATCTATAATTTTAACCAAATGTGCAAAAATATGTAATAAACATAAAAACACAATTTAAAAAGGCTTTGATATTATCTGAAATAGTGAAAAACCATTTTAGAAAAAAATACTTTGATCATATTTAAAGCACATCACCATGATTCTTACAATTTTTCTTACAAGATGTTCTCATCGACTCCTGTTATTAAGGTTTACATGAAACCAGGACATTATTGTAGAATAAAAAAAATATTCCACCAAACACAGACAGTCCTTTTCCCAATAGTTTATTATTTTTTTGTCAGTAAATTATTAGCACAAAATATTTATTAAGACGAAAAACTTTTTTTTACAATTAAAAATACATTAGACATTAGAGCACACCCTGAGAAAACATATGAGAAGATCAAAACATAGTGCAGCTTTTCATATAAACAAAGGTTTAGAGATAAGTAAAAAAAACTCATAAGTCTTAAAACATGGTACGATTCTTAGAGTATGTAAACTAATTTATCTTCATGCCAGCAGTGGTCAGTATCTATGACACCTGGTCCAAGGAAATAAGAGTAAGGCACAGGGTCAGGGGCAGTTTGCTGCCGTACACAAAGTTAAACCTGGTGAAAAAAAAAAAAAAAGAGTAAAAGTCTGATTGCCTTCCAGTTTAAGCCTGTTTTGTGGTTGCCATGTCCCGGATGACTGAGAATTTACACAGGCGTGCTGGTGAAAGCTATTTGATCCAAAAGGTAAGCAGCTGAAATAGCTGAAGTAGAAAATGTTTTTCAAAAAATGCACATTTTTTTCAGAATGTGTTTATCACAAATGCAGACAAGTCCTACTCATGATTTTCATAATCATTGCTGTATATTTTTGGAGCAATGACCCTTTGTGAAAATTACATAAAGTGCACTTTATAGAAAAAGGTAAATAAATGGAAAAAACAAACAAACAAAAAAAACAGGAGGGCTCCCCCTATTGTTCATAGTCTCTAAGTGCAGTTTGAGAATAAAAATCCCTTCAAGCAAAGATACAAACTAGCATGACAAAACATCATTAGCAGCAAAATACCAGACATTGGTGTAGTGTTCGTCTTTGCTTAGAGATTTTAGAGATACACACAGTTTCATTGCCTAGAGGCATTCATTCCACATATTGTTGTAAAGTACAGACAAAACATTTCTTTAACTTTCTGTATTTCAGTAAATACAAAGTTTCTGGTAATCTTTTCAACTCTAAATCTCATGTTTAAGGCAATAGAAAGCTTGTGCTCACCATGAAAGATATGAAGTAGAACCTTTGAGAAACTCCCAGATTAAAGTGACATTTGAATTGAGAAAGCTTCCTAGAGAGGTGGCGAAACGTCTTCAAATCTTGAAAAACAAGTCCAGTGGATTTTTATGAACTTTTACGGAATCCCAGATTAAAGGTTTGCTAATGCTCAACACTACTGTTGTGGGAACATCTTGAACTCTTTTCGTTTTTCCTTCATGGCCTCATAAGACTTCTCTATTGCCTCCATTGGAGTCTTTGCTCCCTTAGATGCATCTTTTCCTATGATGCCACCTTTGATTCCTCCAAATGTAGCAGCAGCTACAGTTGTAACACCTGCCGTCAAACCAGCAGCAACAGCTAGGACTTCACCTTGTACTACCGCCGCTGCGGGCACCACTGTCTGTAAGCTTTTAGCACGCTTTATTATTTCAGATGGACTCATTACCTTCAAAACTGATTCTACTAATGCTGCCACTCCAAAAAAGGCCCCCAACAGAGCACCAGTGGCAGTACCTGCTAGCTGTATCAAAGACTCGTTGGACACAAAGGTTTTGGCCTTTTTTCTGATCTCCTGTGGGGGTAAATGGACACACTCCTCTCTTATCCTCTCTTCTTGTTCCTGGATCTTTTCCTCTACACGTCTCAGAACGTCGTTGGTGTAGTAGGATCCATTATTTTCCACCATCATCCTGTCTACTGTTTGAAGGAATGCTTCCAGCTGGAACTGGTTGTTCCTGTATTCATCTTCCCCATCTTCGTTCCAGTGTTTGTTATCAAAGACATGGCAGCGACCTCCACACTTTTTCACCAGATCACTGAGATTTTCATTTTGACTGACAAAACTTTCAATGGTCATCCCCTCTGCTAGCTGGCCCCCGTGAGTGAAGACGATAACAGCGTAATTAAAAGCATCCTCTGAGAAGTAATTGCTTATTTGGGTAATAACCTGCTGCTCATGCTTTGTGAATTTGTCCACTTTAAGCACAATGAGAAAGATGTTCGGTCCAGGCGCACACTCAGTGAGGCAACGCATTATCTCAGGCTTCAGCTCCTCCTCACTCCTATCAGTGTCGAAGAAACCAGGTGTGTCAATCAGAGTGAGGGTCCTCCCGCTGACTGTTCTCGTCTCCGACTGACATGACGCTGTACCTGAGTTGGGGGAATGATAGGAAGTAAAAGCCTGCTCCCCCAGAATGGTGGTAGCTAGGTTGCTTTTCCCAGATCCAGTTTTCCCCAGCAGAACAATCCTCTTTGTACTGGAATCTGGTGAAAAATTAAATATAGAAATAAATAAAGGACTGTGTAATAAAAATGTAAGTGCTGCAAAGAGGTTTCGATTTGTTACTGCCCCACAGTTTGGTAGATAGGATGGCTGTACTTTTGTACTTTTAATGGTACTCTTTATAGATGTGCTGTTTTACCTATACTCTATTAAGAATTAACTGGTTAACCTTTTTTGAAATTATGTACAAAATAGATTAAAAGCACAGAATAAGTAATATTTTTTAACATAAACAAAACTTTGAAAACACAACATAAACAGCTAAAGACATGAACAAAAGGCTGCAACATTACATCTTACATAAAAACTATGTTGTGCAATTTTGGAAAAAATAATTTTGGCAAAACAGAAAGTGGTTAAAAAGACGTAGTATATTTAAAACAAAAAAAATTACATAATGAGATAAATTAAAGTATTTGTAAATATATTTCCTGAACCCAATCGTTATATAAAAATTGTGTTATATTATAAGAATATTATCAAAAAAGACAGCAGAAGCTTACTGCGTTGATGGAGGGGAAAAAATAGCAGAGGCTAAATCTAAATCAGTTAGACGGAGGGATCTATTTAAGTATAACACCTTCCCAGAAAAAATAATTTTTAAAGATTATATTTACTTTATAAGCTAGGGCAGAAACAAAGAAGGCTGAGTTTGCTCCAAGGGGAGTCAGTTAGTGCTTTCAAAGCCGTAAGGACACACAGCAGCACTTGCTGCTTGCTGAAGACGGCAAAGATATTCAAGCTTTCATTGGTTTCATTTGCTGTTTAAAAAGCCACAGATATATATTTCACTACACCAACCCAACAACCACAGCAATGAGCATGAGCTTATATCAAATATGATAATTGAAGAACAATACAATAACTGTGGCTGAAATATCTCATTTTGTCGACACCCACCTTGATCTTGGTTATTGTTGTACTTCATATTTTCTTGGAAAGACTTGAAGGCCTGTTAAAACAGAGATATTCAATAAATAGATGTTTGACACAGAATTTAAGATGTACCAGTTAAGTCCAGATTTATGATATTGCCAAAAGCATCAGCTCTCTTAAACACATCTATTTTTGTTTAATTAATTCTGGTTTTATTTTTCAAAGGCCGGAAAATATTTTGACCAGCCCTTTGCAGCTAAAACAACCTCAGCTCTTTCACAAAGACTGTTTTTGAGGTTTAGAGGTGTGTCCTAGCTTCTCTTCATTGGCTTCCTGTTGAATCAAGATTAAAATTTAAAATCCCCCTTCCCACATATAAAGCCTTAAATGGCCAAGCTCCATCTTATATCAGAGATCTGATTGTTCCTTATGTTCCTAACAGAGCACTTTGCTCTCTATCTGCTGGTTTGCTGGTGTTTCCTAGAATTTCTAAAAATAGAATGGGAGGCAGATCTTTTAGTCATCAGGCTCCTCTCCTGTGGAACCAACTACCAGTTTTAGTCTGTGAGGCAGACACCCTGTCTACTTTTAAGGTTAGACTTAAAACTTTCCTTTTTGATAAAGCTTATAGTTAGGGTGGCTCAGGTTATCCTGAGCTATCGCTATAGCTATGGTGCTATACACTTATACTACTGGAGGACATAGAGTCCCTTTTTCATTATTCTGCTTCATTCTATCTCAATTCTCCAACTAATAATTCTGAAAACCAGTTCATTGTGGGATTCTACCAATGCACCAGGTTAGAATTCCCTAAACTCCAGATGTTTATTATTTTTCTATTTGTGTGTTCTCCTAAAGTCAGCTCAATATTATGGTAAATAAAAATGTAGTTGCTGTTTATTGGCTTTAAAGCTACAGTGTGTAATTTTCAGCGACGTCTAACGTCGAGACCGCAGACCGCAGCAACATGAACATCTCCCTCCCACCGCTTCTCCCCCCCAACAGTACGGCGAGATTTACGGGACAAAATGTCTTCCACAACGTCCGCATCACCTACCTTCTCAAGTGATGAGGTTTGTTTACATAGATAATTTTACAGATAGTATTTCATTAGTCTGTGTAGGGTATAGATTTCAGTACCGTTTCAGTTCATCTCTCTCAACTTGCCGTAGTTTTTTTCGAGCGTAATGGGCGATCTCGCAATCGCTAGTTTGTTGGCTCTGCGCTGCCGTAGCGCAAAGATGTCTGCCTCCATAGCTGCGAGACCCGTTCCTATGTAATTATACATAACGAATTCTAAGGCAACGCAAATATTAAGGTTAAGAGGCTGAGCTTGTAGATGATGATAAATAACATAGTTATGTATAATATATTACATGACTGTATATCCCTGTAATTATTTCACACTGTAGCTTTAATAAATCTTAACTGGAGCTTTCTCATGCGACAGATTTTGTTACACATAAATAATTCACTACATATGGTATCTATTTCTTAATGTATTATTACTCATATAAACATATCCACACATCAACTCTCAGTTTTCCTTCCATGTAATATAATAGGGGGAAAAACTGGACATGAAAATCTTAGCTGGATGTTGATATACTTATGATTACAGTACATAATTCCATTTGCTTAATATCAAAATTCTTTCTGAAATTATTCTCTGAAATTCTAAAAAAAATCTTCATAGATTATATTATTATTATTAGAACAAAGAATTAATGCTTAGCAGTAAAATTGCTTATATAACCCTTTAAGCAAGTACCTTCAAAATGCCAAAACAACCTGAGTTATTAGTTTATGGCTATCTTAGGGCTTATTAGAGATTGTGGAATTTAACTAAATAGTCAGGTCTAGTGGAATGGGATTAATAAGAAGATAAAAATTGCTAAAATATTACACTTTCTCTAAATTAGCTTAATAATTTTAATGTTATAAGTTAAAAATAAAATTTTAAACTTATCAATAAAGAAAAAAAATCTCATCTTTTATCAGTCTGCCTTTAGTGAATGTTAATTTAACATTTGAACATTTGACATTTTTTAACAAGTATAAGAAAACTTCCCATAAGTTACTGAAGATAGCATTTAATTTCCCTTTGAGGTTAATAAAGTTTTTTTTTTTTTATTGAATTAAATTGAAATACCTCACAGGCCTCTTCATCTTTGGGGTGTACAACAATGCGAATCTGGAGTGGCGTGCTGGTGGTTTTCTCTTGCTGAAATTTACAGATCTCCTCCTGAAAAACGCTAGCTACCAGAGTGGCTGGAAAACGAAGCGCAATGCCAGTCCCAAGGACTGGTAGGGCCACAGATTCAAACCCTCTGCTCTCGCAGCAAGTCAGGATGCTGTTGATACCCAGTCGGAGAACCTTAAAAAATACACATCAGAAGAAAGATTGTTATTTTAAACCAATTCAGAGAACCTATACGAGATAAGGATCATTTATCTCACCTGAACTGCAACTCCCTCTTCTTCTTCATCCCAGTGAATGAGGCTGAGGAAGAACACAGCACCAAAAGGAACTCCAGTCAATTGGTCTTCTAGTGCGAAGTCGCCTGGCATCATTTCCTCTCCGATTTTCTTTTGAAGCTTTTTAGCCCGCTGACTACCAATTTCTTTAAAGAGAATGCTTCCAACTCTGGTCGATTGTGGATCATGGAGGACCATTGGAGATACAACAGCATCGGTCTACAATGAGTTAAAGCCAAAGATTATCAACTGATTTGTAAACTTGTGAATTTCCTGTCAAACGTTATCAAAATACAATGACATAAAAAGGACGGGTTTTCTCACCTGCTGACTTTCAATGGTCCCTTGAACAATCTCTACATTCACGTGGCCCTTCTGAGCTCCAGGGGTGGCCCCTCTGGATACATATTTGGCTGCAGAACCAAACGGAACCTCCTCTTCAGGTCGATCTGGGTGTTCTGTAGGGTATGCAGAATTTTTCCCCAAAAGAAGCCTGTCACATGCTTCCTGCAAGGCCCTCACCACCTCTTCTCTGTCATCTATCAGAGCGATTGTTTTAAGACTTTGCCCACCCTGATTAGCAAATTCCTTGACAGCAGAGACAATGGCCTCGGAGCAAACTGTGACAGGAACGCCAAACACTCCTGAGCTGATACAGGGCATGGCCATGGACCTGTATTTTTTTAGTTCTGCCACTTCCAGAACACGCTGAACAGTTCTTTCCAGTAACACCCTCTCCTTTCCATCGACTTTTCCAGCCACGGGACCAACAGCGTGCAGCAGTCTTTTGCAGCGTAGTTTTCCCCCTAAGGTCACTACCACGTCGCCTGTAGGGACTTTTCCTTCACGTTCCTTGTAAGCGTCACTCTCACTCTGAACTTCAGGACCCCCAGCGTCACTCAGGGAAGCAGCGATACCTTCACAATGATTTAGATCCTCATTGGCAGAGTTCACCAGGGCGTCGGCCTGGAACGCGGTGATGTCCCCCTGATACAGTACCAGCTGGAGATCATCAGTAAGGCTGTAGGTGGCTACTTCTGTGTTTTTATCAGCCAAGCTGAATGCTCCTAAACTCTCCCTCAAATATGGCTCATCCGCTGCATCCAGCAACTCTGTGTTTATCAGAGAACGTCCCACCCCGCTGTCATAGTCTCTATACACCTCTGCTTCACTCTTATGTAGTGTTTCATCATCAGCACACTGTCTGTCCTCATCTCCTTTCTGGGCACTAACATCAACCACAGCCTCAGCGTCAGTCTGCTCCTCCTCTTGGTGATGCTCAGCCAGGAGATCACTAGAGGAGAGCAATTCCTCCGCAATGGAAGAGTCGTCCGGTTGTTCTTCAAGCTCTGTACCACTTGTAGAGTCAGGAATGGGCTGTTGACTCTGCTGAAAATAATACAATAAAAGGCTTCACCAAATATTCATATACACCGGATAATGGCCCCTGATTATTATAGATTGGGCCTTCAAGATGACTGATTATCAGGTTATATGCTTTTCTTTAATCATTGACTTCTTTCTTGTTCAGTTTCCACCCTACTTTATTATCCTACTAGCACACAGCAGCAGGCAGTAAAATCTTAGCATCACACTTGGGAGTCCTCCACCCAGGCTTTTACACCAATCAGGTGGTAAATTTATCATTTTACTGCTTCTCTAAAACTGCTCTTCGGTCGTTTTTATAAAGTTGTCATCAGGTCTTATGCTGCGTTCACACCGGGGGCAGCTGGCGCGACAGAAGCAGCGAGTTTACATGCAAAGTCAATGGTTGACGCGCGTCAAGGCGCAGCAAAAAGTCCCGCGGCGCGTTTCGAGCAGCAAGCGCAGCGCGTCTGAGCAGCTGAAGCAGCGCGTCGGGCGCGTTTTGGCATCTGACGCGCGCGACGCGCCGCAAACGCGCTGCTGCTCGAGATGGAAAAATTGAATTTTTGCTGCTCGACGCGCCGCGTCAACCAATCAGAGAAGCTGATCTGGGAGCTGGCTGGAAAGAGACACAGCGCTGATGACACAGACTGCTCTGATCACTTCTCTTGAACAGTTTATTAAAGCATAATTAACTTAAAATATATACATCTGCCGGCAGAATATGTTCGCTTTTATTATTCTGGTGCCTGCAGACCGGATTATTTAGATGAAAAACACCTACCAGCCACCGCGGTAAACCGCGAGGAGGCGACCCGTCCAGAGGCTGCTGATGAATGGATCCCTACTGTCGGCGCACCGCCGGTATGTGGGGGTCTGAGCGGCTCCGACAGAAATAACATTGGGAGGCAGGATTGTAATCTGGATGAACTGACTCCACTGATGAAGTTTTCAGGTGTATTTTCTCACTTAAAAACATATTAAAACTACTTTATTCCCACTGATCACAGCAAATATAGCTGCAAGGCAGAGAAAGGATAGTGAAGCTCCGCCCAACGCGCGTCAGACCCACTTTTGGACCGCGCAGCGAGAGCAGCAAAGCTGCTTCAGACGCACGTCAGAATTCACTGGTACAAGCAGCAAAAATGAAGCAGCAGACGCGATTTTGCTGCTTTTGCTGCCCCCGGTGTGAACGCAGCATTAGGAGGATGTTTACTTTAAATCAATATTTAATCCTTTCTATTCCGTTATATGTAATTTTACAATAACTATTATAACTGTTTTGTTGTTTTTTATCCCAAAACTTTGCTTTTCTTCTGTAAAAGAATTGTGTATTGATTGTACAACAGAAAGGAAATAGCTTTCCTTTAGTTTATCCATCTTTTGTAGGCCTTAACTCTATGGTTATTACGTTGCTAATAATAATATTAGCTATTTTATGTTTATATACTAAAAAAAGGGTACAAAATAGAGAATATAGAAACCATTGAGTGATGGCTCACATGATTTCATAGATTGCTCTGCTTTTTTTTTTTTTTTATTAGAAAAACTTGGAAGAGTGAGTATTGGAAATGTGCTGACCTCTGCTGGCGATGCAGGGATGTTGTCTTGAGAAGAGACGGGAGGCTCTATGTGCTCACAGTCTCTGACACTGAGCACCAGGGAACCATCAGGGAGCTCAATCGTATGCTCAGCTCTCCTCAATACTTCCTGTTGATCTGCAGCAGAAAGCAGCACAGAGATTAATAAGAGCAGCAAAGCTGACAGACACAGTTCACACAGACACAGGTAGATGGGCTTTGATGCTTTGATGCAGAGTTTTAGGAAATTTTCTTCTGATAAAAGATTTTAGTATGAAAAATTTGAATATTGAATATAGCACAGACCTTGCTAACTATCCTGTACATTAAGAACAATGATCCTTCATTAAAATAGTGCAGTATTTCTGCGAGATAAACTTCAGAACTTTCCATTCTAACAAACAAAATAAGAAATAACCTTTTATTGAGAATTTACAAAGTAGTGAAAGGAAAATTATATCTTTCACATTTTATAAATAAAAACATGAAAATGAGTTTTTGTGTTTCTATTCATTCCTTCTGATGTTCAAAAATTGTAATTACAGTGGCATGTCTTTTATAGTGAGTCCCTACCAAGTTTGCACAGTGACAGATTTGTTTTTTACAGTCTTCTATGTCAAAGAGTTTAATCTGAGATATCAGACCATATATCAGTTCTCTTGCAATAACCAGCCCATTCCTCTTGACATTATGGAGCTAAAAATAGATGATATATCAATGCCATAGATGAATGAGATGGTTTCAATGTTATTTTAATGATATTTTTTGTTATGCTGAGAGGTCATGAACATTAAGTGCCTCATCTTCAGTAGTAAATAATCTCTTACTGCTGTTTAAATACATATTTGAGGCTTAAAACTACTAAGACACATGTCAAGGCCACAGGTAGACATCCAAGAACTTGCATTAATTTGCACATGGCACAGTGGTTCCTTGTTTTCCATGATGATACTATTTGTCATCATGGGAGGGGTTGGAAAGTGAAACTTGTTTATTATACCTGGTCACAGGACATTTTAAAGGTAACCTGTTGGGACTAACCCAGCTGGTTATAATTTAATCTGAATGACAGGTTTGTTTTTAAACTACTGAAGGATTTCCACTAATGTCCTGATTTTAGACCTTTTTTCATTTTCATTTTTCATACTTGTTCAGTATCATTCCATAACTCAATATTCAGGTATTTATTCATATTCATATCCATCAGGGCTGCACCCATAACATCTTTAAAATAAACAATTTAAAATCATATTCTACACCCTGCTCATGGTCTATGCTCTCAGGAAATACAGCTTTAACACGTGTTTATATTATCTACAAGTAGAAGGTATCAGAGCTGTTTTGGTTCTTTCCTAATTTTACACAATAGCAAAATGAGCCCAACAGTGACCGAAAAAAAATATCATATTAAATAATAATTATGATAATAATAATAATAATAATAATAATAATAATAATAATAATAATAATAATAATAATAATAATAATAATAATAATAATAATAATAATGTGTAACGCCATAAAATATAATAACATATATTTGAGATGTAAAAATGTTTTCGTAACCCTGATTGATCAAATAAAATAATAATCATATAAAAACAACCAATAATTTTATCATATTATTAGCAGTAGATGGGATGAAATGGAAAAGATTTAGGCTCGTAATCAACCCAAAAAATAAATAAATAAAAATGAAATAAAGCTTAAACTAATGCTGAAAAATAGATTGCTATGTGAATATCAAAGTTAAAAAAAATAAAATCTCTAAACAAGGTTTCCAACACTTCAAATGTACAGTGATGCTCATTTTATAAGAGCTAAAGAGCATAAATGCAGACAGTTGAATATCAGAAACTTTTGTGAAGATAACCACAGATTTGTCTGTTGACAACCAACCAATGCAAATATGCCAGCAGTGTTTAGTTTCCTGAGGTTTTCTATCAGGAAGGACTAGTTTGCTATCTGATTTAGTTTAGAAGCTGCTGTAACCAGACTCCAGGATCAACTAATCTTTATTTATGGAAAATAAGAGCAGTTATTAGCTCTAACTTGCTGCTTATTATCTTTCCCCCCGGAGCTCCACCTAAAACAAATCCTGCCCTGAGGCTGACTGGAAAGTGAAACCAAGATAACCTAAGTTACAACAGTGATTCCCCAGCAGCTTTATTACCTAGAGTAAAGCACGTTGACAACATTTATGATCTGACTTCTATTTCCATAGTTTGCACAGGAATTACCCTGAACATGCTGTGTGGTGATTTTAACTGCATAGTCTTTCAAAACAGGGCAATGCACCTTTATTTTCAGGATATAAAAAGCCTGTTTTATTGACACACTTCTATAAACTAAACCTAGATGACTGGATAAATTTCTATCTTAAAGATTTACAGCAATCAGTTAAAGTGCACCCAACAGTTTCTAAAATGTTCTTACCCTACTTTATATGACAATACAAACAGTGCAGTAACCATCTGCACACTACAGCACCACATAAATATGATAGAGAAATATTCAACCATGTCACAAAGCAGACCTGTATAGTCATCAAATCCTGTTATGTGTGTCTAGTCTCATGCCTTTCATAACATATTTCTTGGATTGGAAAACAAAACCTTTAAAAACAAAGAGAGGAGTTTCCCAAAGCCTGTAGTCTAAATAGCCATATTTGCAGTCAGTGTCCTTTGCTGGGATAGAAAAAAAGGGTCCAATACAATACTTTGCATTAAGCGTTTCCATTTTTTAAACAACTTTATAATTTAAATAAACAACTCTATAACACGTTTTAACCCTTAATGCAAGTATAAAAAAGCAATAACTAGACTCATGCATGTTGTTATGCAATCAAAATTACAGCACAGATAGAAAACCCCAACCTGATAATACTGCAACTCTGACTTTAGCGAACTCTGCTTCAATTTATTTTGTGAATTCTTTATCATAAAACTAGGTAATAAATAAGTAATAGCTATACTAACATGTTGTAGTGCCATAAATCTCAAAGCAAACATAAAGCAACTCATCTTGATCTAACTAAAACTCTTACTTTAGAAAAAAAGTGGCATTATATAACTGAGCACTACTACATGTCAGAGTGTAGTTATTTCTTGTTTTAGAAAGTATACTTATATTAATAGTTACAGCACTGCTTACTTCAATTATAAAATGTCTGCCAGTATAAAAATCCTTTAATCAAAGCTATTTGACTTAAAGAGAAAACTGTTATCTGTGTTTTGGACCTTTTTGTTCTATTCTATATTTTACTGATAATTGGCTATTTTGGCTATACACTGAAAAAAATTATGCAATTTTTTTTTTTTTTTTGTAATTTACTTAATCACATTTTCCTACTTTAAGAAAATCATTTTATATCCTACTCTGCTGACATGAAAAAAAAATGTGTCAAAGTAAATGAATATAATAAAACAAATTCCAAAAAAGGGTGCATTATTTTTTTCAGTGCAGCCAGGATTTAGGAAATTCCTGCTTTTTTTTTTGTTGTTTGTTTTTTTGTGATGTTTTAATTTGCAGACGGTCCCTGCTGCATAGAAGCTGATGCCAGTCTCCCATCGTAGTTTGGATTAAAATAAGATCGTAGCTCCGCTGTCTGTTTGCTGTGGTTGCAGACAGGAGTCGGTTTGGAAAAAGAAACCTTCTGCTGGTGATTTAATGATCCAGAAAAAGAAAAATCAGTGATTATCTTTCTAACTTTACCCAAATCCACGCAGCTTCCGCTCCTCTCATGCAAACTGACTCAGCTTTAGATAAATGACCTGAAACAGACTTTACTGAGCTTTACCACAGTAAAATCAGAACGGAAATATGTGTTTTATGCTGTTTTAGTAGCGAGTCTCTCTTTGTTTACAGTCATCAGCTGTTTTTTTGTTTCGTTTTTTGGTGACGTTTGGCTGCTTGAGTTAAGTTTCACTTTCCAGATAATTTCCTGCCTCCATCGCCAAGTTTCCAAAGCGTACATCAGACATCAACATCAATAATAATAATATAAAACAACAGCATAAAAACATTAAAAATAAAATCTAATATATTTATTTGTAAAGTGGTGCATGTTTTTAATGACATTTTGAAAAGTGTCCTTCAGCCTGCTGCGATCAACGCTTTTAAGTAAAACACAAACATAAACAGCAGAATTAAACTTTACATCATGCTTTTTCTCGCATCTATTTGTACCTTTTTGATTTCTGAACGCGATCCTGTAGACATGATCAGCCACTTTTTCCAGCCGCCCGCAGTCTCCTCCGCCGGACCTTCTGCGAACACGGAAATATGTCTCTATTTTCTTCATCCTCTGCTCCCCTAGAAGGCTGTCACACCCGAAGAAAACGGGGTGCTGATAGTTTTCCCCCATAGCGTCCGCTTCGGGACAGATCGGTGTGAGAACTCCAACAGGAGAAGTTACACTACGAGTCAGCCTTTAGTATTGTCCTGAGATGCGCCCCCTAGTGTCGAAGAGAGAGTACCGACAGGGAGGAGTCCCAGCTGTCACACGTCAATCCTTTCTTTATTCTAATCATTCCAAACATTACAGTCTTTGTCCAAGACAGCAGATCAGGAATTCCTATGAGTCATTTTCATATTTGTACTTATATAATGTCAGCTTAAAGAACTGGATCTAATCTACAATTGAATAAAAGTAGGAGAAAAAAAATCTCTAAAAGAGCTAAGGGTGACACCATGATGAAACTACAGTTACAAATAAAAGAAAATAGGAGCATTATTAGTTCTAGATATTTCAATATTAAATCCAAACGCATTCAATTTAAAGCCTTTTTGTTGTAATTTCGATTTCTGTGTTACAGATAAAAAATGTATTTGAAAATGTCATTAGTGATAAGTGTTCACTGTTATAACAAAATAATAATAATAATAATAAAAATGGTTGTCTAAGAAATGAATAACAGGTTTGGCTAGATTTAGAAATGCCTTGTGCATGAACTACTGCATCGATGTAACACATTATCTAATCTTTTTCCTTACACTCGGAACAAGTAGGTTATGTTTTCAAACCATCCAAGCACAGTGACACCATGGTCAATGAAACAGCTTCTGGTATCTTTTGGAGAGAAGAGGAGCAATTCAGCATTCAGCATTCAGCAGCCAGAGAACGGAGGGGAAACGAAAGATCCTGGAGGATAAATCCAAGCCGGGGTCAGAAGGTCCAAGATCGACAGCAGGCGGAATCCAGGTAACAGTCCAGAAACACAGAGCAGGCAAACAGAGATGGTTGGAAACTCAGAAGTCTGTGTGCAGAAACAGATCAGGAACAAATAGAACTAAACACAGGGAATGATACAGTAGTCTTTCTAAGAACTTGAAAATTCTGGTACCAAAGGCCAGGCTACAGAGGATTAAATAGAAGTAGGAATATGTGCATATAAGAGCCAATGAGCACAGGGAAAGGCAAAGCAGAGGAGAGAAACAAAGAGAAAATCCAACCTTAAGGCACTAAGATCATTACAGCCAACATGGATTGTTTGTCTTTCCACTCTCTGGGACCTTACTTTCTTCATACCACTGAGTAACAGTAAAGTTATTTTCCTTCTTAGCCCAATACGCTTCAAGCTCATGTATAATTAATATGAAATGGTTATTGATGCACCAACTCCAGCCTCATTACACTCCTAATAAACCTCCAAACTCCTGGAAGAAATATTTAAAAAATGCTTGTATACAGCTCTCAGAAGAAATGGCTTTAGGAAAAAATGTCTTTGGCTTAGCCTAATCATGGAGCATGTCCTCAACAGTCTACAGCCTGAGACCATTAGACATCCATTAGATCAGGGGTGCCCAACCTTTTTTAAACCAAGATCTACTTTTGAAGTTGATGGCAGGCCGAGATCTACCAAGTCAAACAAAAGGGATGGGCAGTATTTGTTTTTTATTTGCACAGGTGGAGAATAAACAGTAAGTCCAACAAACGAGGAAGTTATCAATTGTGTCAAAAAATAGGTTGCAAAAACAGAACTTGAACCCCAGTCGGCCTCGGCAGATGGCCGCTCACACTGAACCTGGTTCTGCTGGAGGTTTCTTCCTGTTAAAAGGGAGTTTTTCCTCTCCACTGTCGCTACAAGCATGCTTAGTGTGAGGGATTGTATTTGAGTCAATGAGTCGATGCAATCAACTGGTTTTCCTTAGATAGAAAACTTTGTATCAATTTGACTGTATGATCTGGTTGAACTGTAAAGTGCCTTGAGATGACATGTGTTGTAAATTTGGCGCTATATAAATAAACTGAATTGAATTGAATTGAATTGAGAACTTAACAATCTCATAAGAACTTCACACCATATCACTCTCACTCACTCAGTCATCAGACTCACCAAAACTACAGAAAAGTGCAGTCAAGATCTCCAGACAAAGGCTGTGCAGTCAAAAAATCTAAATAAACCAATTGATACACACACAGCCCAGCAGAAATGAAAAAAAAAAAAAACGTTAGAACTGTAAATTTACTGTCATATGTTTATATCACTATAAATATATATATATATATATATATATATATATATATATATATATATATATATATATATATATATATATATATATATATATATATATATATATATATATATATATTTTTTTTTTTTTTTTTTTTTTACTACTTTTCAAGGCTGCACTTTAAAAAAAGATGAAATTATCCAGAGAGCTGTTACAAACTAAATTTTTGTGTAAACAAAATGACAAATAAAATCTGTCTAAGATCACTTTAAAGCAGGAAAAAGGAGAAGGGAAGTCTACTATTTCAGAATGATAAACTTCACTGGGCATTGACATTGGCAGAGAAACTGGCAGATGGATTAAAATTCAACTTGAAAACAGATAAAAATAGGAAAATACTAAGTACAAACTATGTGGATATGAAGATGTTACATACAGCATAATGGGCTGTTGACTGTTTCAGAAACTCTTTAATTTCGGGCAAAAGTTCCAAAAATGTTTAGAAGAATGTGCCAAGACTCAGCCACCTGTCGTCGGTGTGCAGCAGCAGATCAGTGTGATCTCCACCTGCCTCCTTGAGCTGAAAACTCCTGGCCCGAACAGAGCAAGCGATCTTCATCGCAACGTCCATGACATGCTTCATATTTAAAATATTGCAGCACAGGAACATCCAGGAACTGGTCCTTCCAACAGGATTTTTGTCCCAACTGCTATTCGTGCTTGAGTTATTCACTGGCTTCCTACTTCTAAATATTCTGTTCATCCAGGTGTCAACCAGACTGTGGCTCTTATCAATCAGCGTTTCTGGTGGCCATCCCTGGTGAAAGATGTGACTTCCCACCTCCAAGGGTATGACCACCATCCTAGCCATAATCGACCGTTTTTCCAAGGCCTGCCACCTGGTCTCATTGAGGAAACTACCCACAGCTTTTTAGACGGCCCAACTCCTGGTCAAACATGTGTTCCACCTACATGGGATTCCCCAAGACCTCCTATTGGACTGAGGACCTCAGTTTATACCTCAGGTTTGGAGAAGTTTTTGTTCGGCCCTCGGGGCCAAGGTCTCTCTCACCTCTGTCTATCATCCACAGTCAAACGGACAGGTCGAGTGCATGAACTAGGAGTTGGAAGGCACCCTCAGATGCCTGACTGCAACTAACCCCACCAATTGGAGCCAGTATCTTCCCTGGGTTGAGTATTCCCATAATTCACACACCTCTTCTGCCACAGGTCTGTCCCCTTTTGAAGTCTCATTGGGGTATCAGCCTCCCCTTTTTCCTGCTGAGGAGGCAGACATTGCCGTCCCTTCTGTTCAGCATCATATTCGCCGCTGCAAAGCAGTCTGGAGCAGGACAGCAGCGGCTCTCGGACGCACTTCTGAACAAAACCGTTGATGGTTTGACTGCAGGAGGCAGGTGGCACCTACGTTCACCCCTGGCCAAAGGGTTTGGCTGTCCACTAGAGACATTCCCCTCAAGGCCATGTCCAAGAAGTTGTCTCCCCGCTTCATTGGCCCTTACTAGGTGGAGACTATCATCGGCCCATCTGCTGTCCACCTTTGTCTCCCCTCCACTCTCAGGATCCATCTTACTTTCCAAGATTCACACCTCAAGCCCTTCCATTCCAGCCCTTTGTGCCCACCCGCTGAACCCCCTCTCCCCTATGATGTTGAGAGCCACCATGCCTACACGGTGCGCAGGATTGTGGATACCCACCGCCGCAGATGAGGTTGGCAATACCTCATCGACTGGGAGGGTGAGGACCATTCTTGGGTCCATCGATTTTTTACTTTAGATAATTTTTCATCACCATTTTTTATTAGAGACTTTCGTTCGTCCCAGCCCTCCAGCTCTGCTGGACCACCGTGTGGCAGTTTTTGAGGGGGGGTACTGTTATGAATCCAGTTTATGTGGGTTGTTTGTGTGTTTTTCTCTCTCCATCACCAGGTGGTGCCCGGTCCTCCTTATGCTGCGCTCACATCGGACGCAGCAGGCACGACAGAAGCAGCGACTTCACATGCAGGTCAATGGTTGACGTGCGTCAAGGCGCAGCAAAATGTCCCGCAGCGCGTTTTGAGCAGCAGGCGCAGCGCGTCTGAGCAGCTGAAGCAGCGCGTCGGGCGCGCTTAAGCATCTGACGCGCGTGACGCGCCGCAAACGCGCTGCTGCTCAAGATGGAAAAATTTAACTTTTGCTGCTTGCCGCGTCAACCAATCAGAAAAGCTGATCTGGGAGCTGGCAGAGAGACAGACACATCGCTGATGATCAGAGCGCTGTGATCACTCCTCTGAAACAGTTTATTGACACATAAATTAACTTAAAATGCAGAAATCTGCCGGCAGAATATGTTCGCTTTTATTATCCTGGTGCCTGCAGTTTAGATTATTTAGATGAAAAACACCTACCAGCCGCCGCGGTGAACTGCGAAGAGGCGACCGGGCCAGAGGCTGCTGTGGAATGGGATCCTACTGACAGCGCACCGCTGGTATTTTGGGGGTCTGAGCGTCTCTGACAGATATAGTATTGGAAGGTAGGATTGTAATCTGGATGAACTGACTGCACTGATTAAGTTTTCGGGTGGATTTTCTCACTTTAAAACATATTGAAACTACTTTATTCCCACTGATCACAGCAAATATAGCTGAAAGGCAAAGAAAGGATAGTGAAGCTCCGCCCAACGCGCATCAGACCCACTTTTGCACTGCGCAGCCAGAGCAGCAAAGCTGCTTCAGCCGCACGTCAGAACTAACTGGTACAAGCAGCAAAAATGAAGCAGCAGACGCGATTTTGCTGCTCTTGCTGCGTCCGGTGTGGACGTAGCATTAGGCCTCTCTGCACACCTGCGGCTCGTTGGTTCATTACTGGAGGAGTATTTAAGCAGTGGGCTGTCAGAACCTTGACGCCAGAGTTTCTGTCAGTTTTGGTTGAGTCTAACCTAAGCTTTGTTTCTCTGAGTCTTATCTAGTTTTTGTCTTTGTTC